CCCCAAAACCCCAAAACCCCAAAACCCCCTATTGATGATAATTAAAAGAATGAAAATTATTGTAATACTAGAAATAGTTAATAAATTATTGAAATAATGGGAAATCAAAAGTCCCTCTATAAGTTGTATTTCAATGAAGTATATTTAAAACGCAATGAAGGGGACAGAGTGAATCCCCGACCTCAGACTGGGATAGAAAGCTCAAACTATAATCCCTTTTAAACTTAGAGCTCTTCAGGTAGTAGCAGGCAAACCCCTGATAGCCAGTCTCTAAATAATTAAAATCAGCAGTTTAGCACATCAGTGTAAAATTAATTTATAAACAGGAATTCAATGGGTACTGGTCGCACTACTGCAGACATGCTTAGTGGGATAAACAAATATTAAGGCCCTCACAGTACTAGACATTAGAAAAACATCAAGATTGTAATAGATAACAATCATACTTTTGTTATTAATGTTCCCGACAAAATACCAATTATCGAAGATGACCATTCTTGCGGAATCAATTCAAGTGGCAATCAGGGCTTGGAATAACCGACTTGTGCTTGGTTGATAGAATAAGTCCAAAGAAGATATGCACAACTTATCAAAGATCAGAGAAAAAATACTAAGTCTAAGACTAAGTTCAGATAAAAAATTATAGTCGCAGTAAAAACAGTAGATAAAAATGAGAACATTGATTTCTGGTTGACTCAGTATTAAAGGTAAGTCATTCATCCATACTAGTATCGAACTCCAAAAATAGACTCATACATAATTTAACAATAAATGCTTTAAATTCAATTGATTGGTTGATGCTAACCTTTATTGTAGAATCTTAAAGCCACTGCCAAATAACCTAATGCTTGAGCCTCATTACACCAAGATCGTCATTAATAAAAAGAGAGCGGTTATGACGAATGACTTCAAATTACTAAAAGTAATAGGCAAGGGGGGTTTCTCAAAGGTCTACATGGGTACACTATTTATTACTCACATTAATTAATAGTTAGAAAGAAGGACACAGGCTTTATCTATGCGATGAAAGTTATGAAAAAAGATTAAGTGACAAGTGATTCTAAGCTTAAGCAGATAATGAACGAGAGAACTATTATGGAGGAGCTGAATGATCACCCCTTTGTAGTTAAGTTACACTATGCCTTTCAATCTGTAAGTTTTGAAATTGATAGAATTATTGACTGGAGATAAGCCAAATTAATCTTCAATTATTATTATTAGATAAGTAAATTTGCTTTTTTAAATATTTATTGCCTTCAATACTAATCAACCTTTTGATATTTAGAAGGAAAATTTGCATTTTATCATTGACTTCTGCACTGGAGGCGAGATGTTCTATCATCTACAGCAAAAGGGGAGATTCCCAGAGTTTCTGGCTAAGTTTTACTTCGCAGAGATACTACTAGGAATTGACTACTTGCATTCAAAGAATATTGTGTACCGTGACCTGAAACCTGAAAATGTACTCATAGATGTTGACGGTCATATTAAACTTGCAGATTTCGGCCTATCCAAAATTCTCAAAACTGATGAGAGGAGCTTCTCGTTTTGCGGATCTCCTGAGTATATGTGTCCAGAGATACTCAAAAGAGAAGGCCATAATCATATGGTAGATTATTATACTCTGGGAGCTATTTTATATGAAATGCTTACTGGTTTACCTCCATACTATACAAATAATAAAGATGAAATGAAAAGACGTATCTTAGAGTCAGAGCTCTCGTTTCCTTCACATATGAACAGTGAAGTAGTCTCACTGATATCTTCACTTCTTGAACGAAATCCAAGCAAGAGGCTCGGATGTAAGAGAGGTGTAGAAGAGATAAAAGAGCATGAATGGTTATTAGATATAGATTGGGATATGATTTTAAAAAAGAAAATCGATCCTATGTGGAGACCCAGGTTAGACTAGAGCAACTTTGACCCAGAGTTTACTTAACTCCCTTTAAACTTTGATGAAAGCAAATTCAAACGAGCACTCCAAGGAGACAGAGAATTTTCCTTCTACTATGAGAGTCCTCTATAATCACTAACTGTTACTGAGCATTCTATTTACGCTTCAAATCCTGATTTAGGAAATACCACGAATGCTGAAATATTATTATAAAGTGGATCCTCGAAATAACTCTTGGAGCATTTTTTTCAATCATCAATTTCACCGACCTATAAGGAGCGTTAATAAACGATAATGTTGACATCCAAAGATTTTGAAGAAATCTTTCAGCAGTAACAAATGAAATTGTAGATGAATCTTGAATTGGCAATGAGAATCAATGAAAACCTAGTAAGAGACGATAGCAAAATAAATTTGGAATATAATGAGGAAGACGGGTATACAAACTTTAGAGGCTTTTCTTTTATTGGTGAATCATAAGATGAGCAAAACGTTAAGACTCAGCTTATCAAGTATAATAAACTAAGAAACAACTTAAACAAGCGTTTAAGGAAGATTCTTGATGAGGAAGGGGTAATTAAGACTAGTGATATAAAAGATATTACCCTCAGCTCCCCCAGCAGCAGTTTAAGTTTAGGAACAGCAACTATACTTCCAACACCACCACTGCAAGAGGATTCCTCAAGTTGTCGTAATTCCAATCCTAGTGGCTATTAGTTTAAAGGAACTTAAGGTAGTAATCACAATAACTTAAATGAATAGAGTTTTATGACAAGTGGATCTCCATTACCAATATTCAATCAAATTAAAAATCAAGCCATTATTGATAAAAAGTAAAAACAATAAATGATATTCGCTAAATTAAGTGAAACTAGCAGTGACAGAGGTATGTTTAAATCATTCTAGCCTCCTTCATCTGAAGTAACAAAGATGAACTCCTTAGTTAGTGGAGTAGGCTCAGGCAAAAAGAAGAAGGGTAATCTATTTAGAAGTAACGTCGAACCTGGAAACAACAGCAGTAGTGGTGGAGGCCAAACTGGACTACTCTATGGATATACTTAAAACCTTCAGCTTTCTCATAAAGACTATCTCAATGACTCCATCAAATCCTCATCACATGATGATGAATCTGTAGCAGAGGGGAGAGAGTCATTTGCCACGATTCATTAGACAGTTGCTATTACTCATCAAAGTAATCAGACTTTGGAGAATGAATTTTCAAAGAATAAATATAGTTCAGCATTTGATAATAATGAGGAATAGAAATATGGGGAAGAGCATCATAACATATTTGACCCGGAAATAATTCAAAACTAGGAGTACTACTTAAATCATAGAGATGAAGAGTCTAAGGAGCAAAGTCCTATGGATACATTTGCTGCAGATAGTAGGTAGAACAGTTCCTAGCTAAAAAATGTCAAATTCATCTTATTCCAAAGTCAAAATGTAATTAAAAAGAAGAACACAGATAAACAGCAGAATAAAGGATTTACTTCTCAGAATAAACAACAAAAAACGCCTAAGTTAATAGTAACTTAGAGATCAAGAATGGCAAATAACAAGGATGACTACTTTCCTCAGAGCAATCAATATTCATCATTGTCTAGCAGTGCCAATAATTCAAGAATCTAGCCTGGAAATATCAGTGGAGGACAAGTGGCTGGTGGAGTGCTGAATCATCAAAATATATCTAATAGCTCCTATTAAGGTATATCTAATTCTAGAGATAACTAAACATCAACTGACCAAAAAAGTAGTACTTTAGAAAAAACAATGGAAAATGTTAGTACTAAGTACACATTCGATCATTAGTCACAGAAGAGTGGCTAGCAAGCTAATAGTTAGACTAAGAAGGCGTATGAAGATGAGAACCAGAGTGATAGGCAAAATTAAAATGAAGATGGTTCGATAGATTTAGATAAAACAGCTAATATTATTAATCTCTAACAGCTTGAAAGGTTAAACTATCAGCAAAATTCTTAGTAAAAGGATTCAATTAGATAAATCAAGATTTCACCTAGGAAGAAGCTAAAGGAAGCTCCACAGTTGCTTGCTAACACGAATCTATAAGGTGGAATAGGCATTGGCATAGGTTCTGTAAGGACGACTTTGTAAATGAAACCATCACTTGAAATTGACATTGAAGAATCACCCACTCTAGATAGAAAGGCAAGATTTGGTGGAGGGAATATTGCATAGAGCTCACAGTAACTCCTATCTGAGAAACTAGCAGAGAGTTTGGAGCTTGATCATTAGTTATCTCTTGAAGATAGCGAAAAGAGCAAAAGAATAGTGTATAATAACTTAATCAAGAATGATAATGAAGAGCTGGGTATTTAAGCAATGGGAAAGAAGCAGCCTTTGACTGTTAGGCATGCTGCTTACTTGGCTAATAGTGTATTTAGCTTTGACTTGATGGCGACTGATGAAGAGCCAGATGATGATGACCCAAATCAATAATAAAATGTGATAGTTGGAGTTACAAGCAGCAGAAGCACTAAGAATAAGAACAGTCAGCATTATATGGGCTTCTAATTCGGGCAAAAGAACTCTATGAGTTTACTTAATAAAAATGTGCTCTAACACAAGAAGAAGATCTCTGCAGACTTTACCGAGAGCAATGAGCTTTACTCTTCAATAAAAGACAAGATCCAGGGAGATGTAGAATCAAGCTTGAAATAGAAGTTTATGTCGAAAAAAGAATCAAACTACTCAATTGGTGGAACAGTAGCTAAGAATACTCCTACTAATCAAAGCTAAAAGATAATGATACCTTCACCAAGCAACTCAAGAACAAAAAAGAAGAGCATCCAGCTTTTCGATGAGGGTCCTATGATGGAGGAAGTTGAATCGGAGATGACAATGCAAACTTAGAATTCTCAAAATAGCAAAAAAGAGACATCTAAATCTAAGACAGTTTAAAAGAAAAATCTGATGGGTGGATTTAAAATGCCTAGTCTGAAGAAGGGAACATTAGGTACCTCGTCAACTGTCGGATTTTCAAGACCCACCTAGATAGATGCCAACTAGCCATTACAGTCTAACCAGTTGCTTCCACCATCGAGGCAAATCAAGCAAAGTAATAAACCACCTCTGAATATGAATAGTAGTTTGAAGCTGAACACTGATTTGCTTTACACAACTACATCTAGCATGATAGGCAAGAGAATTGCTAACAACCAAGCCAATTCAAACATAAATGCAACTTCTAGCAATGTGAACAATACAAAGTTATCATAGACAAGCGGCAATGGAACCCCATAAGGTCCTAAGACTTCAACTTAGAAAGTTCCAATAGTGGCAGCCCAGTCTAATTCAGCCAAGAATTCAACCTCTAATAAATTTACTTTTCCTGTCGGAGGTGGTAACTCTCTTGATAATATGAGCAGTTCGCCTTCTAAAAAGATAATCTCACAAAAGTCATAAATGGGAAATTTTTCAAAACAAATAAAAACCTTAAAGCAAACTATAAGCACATCTAACAATAATAGCAACTCTCAATAAATTGCAGATGAATAGTAGCAATAACTAGGGGAGATATAGAAATCTTACACTGAAAAAATAGGTGGAACTTCAAATGAGATACCTCTGATATAACTCAACATTATGTCCCTATAGCCAGGGGATTCCTCAGGTATTGCTGGTGGCTCAGTTAGTTCTACAAAGAATTTCGATTTTAACACCCTGAGTGGTAAATCCAAGCCACCAAAAACCTCTAAAAATGTTTAAAATTCCTAAGGTAAAGGATTTTTCTAATGAGTGTCCTCTTACCTACCATAGAACAGTATTGAACAATAATAGCAAGTTTATTCCTAAAAAATTAATTCTATCTTATTTTTCATGTTCCTTGTCTGAAGTCTAAAATTTCTCCAGTTTCTTATCTAAAACTAATAACCTAAGGTATTAATTCTAAAGTTAAATAATTATAATATTATATTGATTAAAGAAGTAATGGAGTCTCGTTAAGATATGGATATAAAGACACTATGTGCTTTGTGTAAAACAATGCCCTGTTGTCCTGAACATTGCTGTGATGTACATTATTATCTTATCACTGATATATTTATTTAGTGGGATTCCTGTAAATGCAATGACTGCGATTACTGCAAAAATAATAGTCATTAACATACTGTTGAGAGTGTTGATCCAAGCATTTTAATCATGTATTTAAATTTGAAACTTTCGATAACAAATTATCTAAATGTATTCTTTAGATCAACTGGCACAGAGGAAGTTAAGAAAATTAAGAAGTCAAAGAAGGAAAAAGTTTAGGAATCAGATAAAGATAAGGAACTGCGTATTCCTTCAGAATAGACAAGAGCTAATGATGGCGCTTTGATTATCAATTATGAAGTGCCGATTGAAGAAGAAGAGGATAAAGTGTTGTACTCAGGGGGTATTAAGGGAATTAGGGCACTCAGAACATAGAGAGATGCCTTAAATTAATAAATAAATGATGACTTGCTTGAAAGTAGAAATAAGTTTTCCAAATATGAGGAAAAAAAGCGTTGAACACATTTAGAATTGCATGACGTGATGCACAGTCAAGAAAGCATGTTATTTGATTTCAAATGATGATTGACTTTGTGTTAAGATCGATTGATAATTAGAAGTGATATAAAAAGTTGATTCATTGTATATAAAACTTATCTTCATCTAATTTTTAAGTTTTCTGTCTTTTTATCCTCTGCTGCAGCGTTTAAAATTCATATCTTTAATTACAATGAATAAGGTTTAAAGTATTATATTATGGAAAGTTTATGGCTGGAAAGGATTAGAAATTAAGGTTTAAAATAATAAGTAATGCCTGAGATAGATACGATCATCAAGTACTCAGAGGAAGCAATAATAATAATCATAAGGGAGAGGCAATATTATTAAAGGAGGATTGATTATACATTCACATGTGCAGATATCTGCCTTAAAGTTGTTTCTTGGAGTTTATTTGAGTGCTTGGGGACTTAAAGTGAGAAACACTCGCTGATTGAGACAAAGTCTAGCTGTTTCCACTCACTCTCTTAATAGACGCTTGATTGCTGTTTACCACTGTCTATATCTTTTGCTTCGATTTAGTATCAAGCTAAGCTTGACTAATTGAGTTGGCAAGAGTTTAACCGGTTCTTTGGTTTCCAAGAGTAGCACTTAGCATGGTGTTGTAAGTAGGCCCCTAGTTAGTAGTAGTTGAATTGCTATGTTCTTCGATGGTCCTCATGAACTTGGGATGCTTGTTGGATTCTATCGCTTTCGCAGCTATATAAATAAACTTATAAGACTTACTTGAATTGTTCTCAGTGGACACAGTGCATGAAAGGTTCTAAGAGTTTTCATAAATCTGCTGCTACTGACTCACAACAATTTACTAGTTTAGTTGGCCAATCGGATTAAGCTAAGCACCTCTTGGTGTTTACTGAAGCGTATGCTGGCTTTGACTGACCTGTTATAGACTTAACTGGTTGTTTTATTGCTGGGATATTTGGTGTCTGCCTAGTTTTTGGCTAATAGTGTTGGATATCTGAATGGGATGCTGGCTAGCCGAGGCAGTGTTGTTTTATCTCATGTTTGAGGACTTTACACTTGCCTTAGAAGAGATAATTCCTTTTTGGGATAGAGTTGAAGAAGTTATTAGTTTTGAATTCTTATCAGAAAGGAGGAAGTTTTAAGATTGAGATGAAGTTAAGTTGCTTTGTTGAGCTGGGTTGTGAGGATGGTAGTTCTATGGGTGCACTCCAAGAGCTGATTGCTTACCTTTGCTTACTACTTACTTTCTGTTGATAGCTTAGTTATTACCATTAACTGTCACAGTCATTGTCAAAGGAGAAGTGGTTGTGGTGGGTGAAATAAGTTTAGTTAAGCTTGCTAGTGAGTAAGAAGGTGTCATGACTCTGACAGTATTAGCTGCTTATGCTGACTGAATCTGCTGTTGCTATTAAGTCAGAGCATTCAACTAATTTGCTGAGTTCTATTGTTGATGGCTTTGCACAGCTGTCTAGTACTTTCCATTGCTGTTTTATTGACTAATGAAAGTAGGATTGCTGAGATTACCAGAGCCAAAGTTACTTTGGAACTAGCCGAATGTCTGTGAATGAGCATTACCATCTTGTAAATTCAAGTTCTTTCCAGTAGCACTTCTTTTAATGATTTTATTTTAATCAGTGATGGTAGTTTGAACTTACTGTTGAGATTGCTGACTTAAATCTTTAAAACTTTATCTATGCTGTCCACTTAGTCTTTTACTCTCAATTGATAGCTCCTTGGTGTTGATATTGCTTCCCTTTCTTTGCTATAAATTAGTGATGCTTCTGTAGTTATTTGCATTATTGGTAAATGAAGTCTGTGAGAAAGAAAGTTGTCTTCCATTTGCAGATGTTGAGGACAATGGAACTCCACCTTGATTGTTTGCATTTTAAGCCATCATAAGGAAGTTATTTGATTCGATGCTCATTCTGTTGTTCTAAATACCCATATTCTACTAGCCACTAACTATGTTATTATTGCTCCCAGCGTGCAGATGAGCAGTTGATTTTTTTGAATGAGTTGAGGATTTATTCGGAGTCTTGTTAGCACTCTAAACTGAAGGAGGCTCAGTGTTTTAGTTTCCACCATCATAGACTCCTCTAATCTTTTGCTTCATTGACTCAAATGGCTTCTACCCTGTGGCATTGTTTCTTGATTATTCCTGACTATTTTGCTGTTGATAATTGCCTTAGCTACCTGATGAAATAGTTGCACTATTGATTGATTGCTTAACTTCATCGTATTTCTCAATGCTCTGCAGATTATTTGCTGAGTATTTCTTTGAATTACTTATCTAAGACTAAGCATCGAATGTCATAGTATGATTACTTGGGAGTGATGGCCCTTGATTTCCTTATGTAGTTTAAGGATTAATAGTAATGTACTGCTCGAGATGCTTCTTAATTTGATCATAGTTGTTGCTTTGAGAAAATAATTTGTCCTCGCTACTAGTCAACAAAAGCATTTGCTATTGAGTTTGCTTGCCAGCAGTAAATCCAGCTCCTTCCAAACTTTTGCGGCCCTAAGTGATAATTGGATTCATGTTGTCGTCAATTGTTTGAAACACAATGCCTCCATCAGGTGATGCAAATCTCTCATCAGCAATACCAAAGTCATCGCAATCTTCACCAGTAACGGCTTCATTGTCAGCATGATCATTGAAATCTGGTTGCTATAATATAGCTGGTTGGTTCTACTTTTAATGAGAAGCCTGAGAATAAATAGTTCCCTAAGGAATATCTTGAGCAAGTTCTTGTTTGGATCTTTACTGATGCAAGATGTTTGCTTTCTTTGAAGAAGATTAGATCAGATGAGAATTCAAAGTGTCATAGTTGGAAGCGTAGGAATTTTACTGGATGTTAATGTTTGTCTGAGGATTTAGACCAAGTAGCTTCTGGTACTGATCATTGCCTCCGCTCAGATATTTGGTATGAGTAGTTTATGATTTCTAGCTTTTCTAGGTAGAATTAGTATTCACTTATTGATTTCTACTTGCAGTTCCCTAGACTTAGGGATTGTTAGCAACTGGCATCGGGGATATATTCTTTCTTTGATTATTATTATTGTTGTTGTTGTTGTTGTTAACTTGGCGATTCAAGTTGTTATTAATGCTCGATGCTTGTATATTACTGCTACTGTTTCCCCCGTTGCCATTTCCATTGGATAATCTAGTGGTCTTTTTCATGCTTGTAATTTACTGCATAGTAGGAATAATGCATTGCGACTTCATTGCTTGTCTGTTGTTATTAGTGTTCAGACTGTGCTGAAAATGTTATTGATTGGCTAGTAGTGAGCTTGAAGAGCCAGCTTAGTTAATATTCTTGTTGATGTTGTTTAAGCCGTTAGGGGATTTGAGTTAGGGGCTTTCAAGCAAGTTGTTTGCATTTTAGTTTGATGGAGAGAGTAAAGGCCCTACATTGAGCTTTTACGTTTGAAAGTGCGGATCAATTTGCATCTTTTGTCCTGACCTGAGCAGCAACTCTTCTTGCATGTCTAGATTACAATTGTGCAAATAATTATCAATTGCCTCCTTAGTGCCAGGCGAGGTTTGAATGACTGGTTTTTGCGAATTGAAATCTTGATTGCTTAGAATATTGTTGGCAATGGCATTAGCTTTCTGGATCCTAGGGGTATTTTTATTAGAGTCTTAGTTAGTCGCAGGCATTTAGTTGATTTTAAGGGAGTCTAATTTAGGCATTGCTCCTTTTTGCTGTTATTGATTGGCAGTTTACTAGTTGTTATTGAAAGAATTCTTTTGCTTTTTGGTTGGTTGTTAGCTGTTAGGGTTTTAAGTCAGAAGGTTGCCAGTGCTTGATTGCGGTTGAATCTTCTTGGAACTCTCAAGTGATTTCTTGCCTCCTGTATTTGCATTGTTAGCATTAGAGTTCAAATTAGTAGTGCTGCCAGTCTAGGCTAAAGTCTTAGTAGAGCCATGCTTAAGTTAGGTCTAAGCTTGCTGATTATTTGCTCTAGTGTGACTTATTGGTTATAAATTTTGAGGCTTTTAACTTGATTTATTTGGAGTCTTTTCTTAAGACATTCTCTGCATAGAATGCTGCGAAGGATTAATGAATGAATTAGTAAAGCCAGAGAAGTCAAGTGCAACTGAGGTTAGTAGCTGTATATTAGATTCAGAGTCCTTCATTAGAAATCTGTCAACTAATTCCTCTATCTTCATTTGATCTATTCTAGTGGATTGTTTTTTGCCAGCATACACTGAAATCTATTTTGCCTGATCCTCATACTGCTTCTTGCTCATACTGAGATCACCCATATTGCTGTAGTAGCTATTATAAAACTTAGTGTCAAAGAGCTTGTCCTCATCGAGTAAAGTCTGATGCTGCTTCTTAGCAAGCTCCTCTTGCAGCTGGTATTGCTCATCAATCAGTTTCTGCTTCCTTTGAATGTTCTTGAACATATATTTAGACTCTGGCAGCACCACGTAGTTTGGAAACACCTGCGAATACTTCTCATAGAAGCAGCATAGTTTGGGTAGTCTGCCCTTAGTCTCAGACTAGGAGTAGGATCTCTTCAAGAATTCGTTGATGTCATCCAGAATCAGGTAATCTTTGAAAATCGACACGATGTGAGTGTTCTCGTTGTATATCAGATCATTTACAATCTTCAAATTATAGTACTCGCGATTGCTGCTGTACTTCTTGCTCAAGTGATTTTAAATTAGCATCCCATGATGATCATCCTTCGAGCAATACAATGCTGAGCACTGATTAGGAAGCACACTCAGTGATATCATTCCACCAGCCACTGTTTTATTGCAAAGAGTGCAGTCTGTATTGCTTGTCATTTTAGACAGCAAAGAATTGTGATTAATTATCTTAAGTCTCCAGCCTTTCTATGCTCCTTGCATTGCACCTGTTGCGCTGTACTGCATATGCTGCTTGTATAGCAAATCTTGAATCTAATTGTTGTTTTATCCAGTCACCGGATCCTTGTAGAATGAGTTTTTATCTTGAGCTTGATGCTAGCCATTGCTGCCTCCTTCTGCTTGTGAATAAATAATATCTTGGTACTGCATCATCATATTATTCTTATTCATCAGTGCTTCTTATGAAACTAGCATCAGTTTGTTCTGAGACTGAGATTTAGCCAAAGATCGTTGCTTTCCTGGCTGAAATTACTGCTAGCTTTGCTCCATAACTGGGTCTCGCTCAACTTTAGCATTTTTATTGATCTATTTGATATTTTGGTTATTTATAACATTCTAAGCGTTTGTAGCGGTTTAACCTTAAGTTGCTGTAGTGGTTGAGCCATAATTTGACATTGCAGATTTAGCACCTTGGATAAGCTGTCTATTCTGAGTGGAAAATTCAACGCTACTGACTAGTTCTCGTGGTCTGCTGCCCGCCATAATTGCATCCTTGTTTTCAATGGACCTGCGCTTATGAGCTACATTTCTATCGACCATTATTAATTGTTTACTTTTCAATTCATCTTTTTTGTTTTCCATCATTGAACTCTAATAGTTATTGTTGTCGCCTTGAACATGCACATTGTAATTTTCACTCTGTCCATTAGCTCTGCTTCTTTGTGCTTACATACCTCCGATAGAGCCTAGATCTACTTAGTAGTCGTACGGATCTTGCTTGTTTTGTTAATTAGAATGCATACTTTCTCCTTAAAAATCTTTTGAAGAACCTTATATGGTATTTTATTACTAATTCTACTGCTATTAGTTTGTGTGGGAATTCATGTTAGTATTTCGTCTGGGATTAGTCTCTTTTTAAGGTTGAAGATTTTCTGTTTATCTATAAAAATCTATTAACTGTTTTTAGTTCGACTGCTATTGCGCAGTGTGATGTAATTCATAGTGAGACGCCATTAATTAATCTCAGATGGTTGCTCTCTTGAGATTTAAATTATTATTCAAATATTATATTCTCACTCATTTCTAACTATTACTTATTTCTTCAGCCCTCATTAATTCTTAACATGGGGTTTTGGGGTTTTGGGGTTTTGGGG